TGACAGAACTGGATTCCTCAGCCACATGGAATAAAGATAGCCCAAGACCCCCAACACTCCGCCCTCACCTTTCTGGGACCCAGTCTCCTCTTAGCTACCAGAGAACTGGAAATGAGCAAGCCTTCCCACCTTCGAAGCTTTGTCAGATTCCATTAATGAGTGTTTTTGAAGCTCCCAGGGCTCATTTAATGAAGGGAACTGTGCAGATTGGGAACTTGTCATTACCGTTGTTATTGTTACAGTCTGCTTTAAGAGGTTACAGTGAGAAGTGCCTCAGACACCTCGGGACTGTGCTGGGAACTGGGCAGATAAAAGGGGTTGGAACTTATTATTTGGCTAGACTCTCAATTCCCATAAAATTACATAGGGTGAAGATATGAACCATCATTACAATTATCACCCTCATAGGGTTTGTTGAGACTTCCTCCACTGTTGTTTGCAAACCATGTTGACATGGTTGGCTATGAGGAGCTGTAGAAAACAACTAGCTGTTGTTTTGAATGCCACTGCAGACTCTGCTACGTTTTGTTAACTCTTGGAGATCATCAGCATAAACAGACAGATTGTGACCCATCTAAAAATGGGACTTAACAATTTCTGTGGGTTGGCAGAACATTTAACTCTGCAACCAGGAGAGGATTTTTTCTAAATATGCAAACTCAACTACAAATGAATTTCCTGTCATTTTCAAGGAACTTTCAAATAGTACAGGTTTTCCTCAAACTGATAACGGTCAGGTCCTCAAGGCATTGCTAGGAATTCGCCCAGCACTTTTAACTTTCAATGATTGATGCATTTACTTAAAGATGTTCTTTACCAAAGAGAATATAATCTGAGATGCAGCCAACATTAATAATAAAATGAAATCCAGTGACCATAAGTGAGCAAAATGTACTCCCCAAACCATGAAGCCCTAATCAGAAAGCTTGTTTCACACCAAGTCCAGGGGGAACTCATTCCTTGCTCCCAATTTACTCCTGCTCTTCCTGTTCGTGTACTAGTAACCAAAACTTGAGCCCTTTCCACCAGAAACAGTAACCTCTGGCTAAAAACGGATCTGGACAAGTCTGAACTTTACCACACAAGGCAGGAACCCCAAGCCCTGCTCAGAGGCGGCTCCCACTTCAAAGCCTCCTTTCATTTAAATACAAACAAGGTGAACAACTGGCAATCTACGAAACAAATACCATCCAGCTTCCCTTTTCAGATGGCCCATAGCTCCTGCTTCCCTTTCCCGCCCCCACTCCAGCTCCTCTCTTCCAAAGAGGCTCCTTAGTGGAGATGCACCCATTCTGTAAGTTTTCTGGATGCCAAAAAATGGATTGGGGCTGCATGTAGAATGCAAGAATCAACAACTTCTCAGGATGATTAACTCTCTAGCACTTTTTTTTTTGCTTTTTTTTATTGTGGGAAAATACACAAACATAACATTTACCGTTTTAAAATGTACAATTCAGTGGCATTTAGTACATTCATAATGATGTGCAACCATCACCACTTTCTGGTTCTAGAATATTTTCATCATCCCAAAAGGAAACCTCATACCCATTCAGCAATCAAAGTCTATTCCCTTCTCCCCCGGCCCCTGGAAACCACTGATCTGCTTTCTGTATCTGTTGATTTGCCTGTTCTGGACATTTCATACAAATGGAATCATGCAATATGTGAACTTTGGTGTCTGGCTTCTTTCACCTAGCATCATGTTTTTAAGGTCCGTCCATGAGTAGCATGTATGAGAACTTCCTTTATATGGCTGAATAGGATTCCATTTTATGGGTAGACCACTTTGGGTCACATAGTACTTTACAATTTGCAAAGTGCTTCCAGGTGTATTTTCCGACTTTTAGAAATGTTTAGTGTGTTTGTTTAAAAACTAGATAAGTTAATTGAGTCTCTGGTTATGTGGTTTGTCCATAGCCACAGGGCTTTTGAGTGGCTGAACCAAGACTGAAAAATTTAAGGCCTTTGACTGAATCCCATGTCATTTTTTTGTTAGAAAGCACAGTATTCTGGGTCTCATGTAGGGTTGGCAGTGAATGTGCAACTGCCCAGATCCTGTAGAAGTGTCCCGGCTTCGGATTAACAAACGTTCATTGAGCACCTACTATGTGCCAGATGCTGCTTAGTCCTGGGAAGGAAGATATCGAAGCCAAAAGGAGTTTGCAGTTTAACGTACTGTGTAAGACCTATATGCAAAGGCTCACTTAGGTAGAATACATTTATGGTATACTTGCTTTTCCCAAGTGAGGTGTTTCTCCTGATGTGGCATTGGTGTACATTGACTGGTGGGCAGATAGAACAAAGTCTGCCCTTACTGCGGCTGTCCTCCGAGCCAAAAACTATTACTAGTTGAATCAGGTCCACTGTCTCAGCTTTGGCGGCACTTCTCTTGAACTGCTGGGGAACTATACCTTAGTTGCCAAATATGGGGATGTGGAGTAGAATGTGATTTCCTCCCTTAGGATGATAGGTGGTTGTCCTGCAGCCCTCTAGTTTCTCCCCCTACCCAGCCCATCCTTCCCACAGCCGTCAGAGTAAGCCTTGGACAACATCACCTAAACAATGTCCCTCTCCTGCTTCACCCTGCACCCTGCCCATGGTACCCCACTGCTTTCCAGATCAATTTCCAAGTTGTTCAACAGAGCTGGATCTTTGCTATAGGGCCATAGTCTACATTACCAGCTTTCTTACTGGCCCTTCCCAACCCCGTGTGTTGCGCTCGGTCCCACAAGAGCACGTCATCATTCTCCATCATGCCATGCACTTCCTTGCAACCTTACCCTGCCCTGCTAGGAGTACCTTTTCCTTCCCCTCTATCCTTTGGACAACTCCCTTATACTCATCCATCAAGACTTATTTGTTTGGTACTGCAGAGTTTAGGAATTGCTTCCACATGTATTATCTGTGCAGTATCTATTATTTTCTATAATATGGGTGAGGAAACTGGTTCAGAGTCTTAAACTGAGGCCCTCCGAGTCCAAGTCCAGTGACATAGCCACTTCTCACTATGCCCTAAGCCCAAAACACACCCAGGAAAACTTTGAAGATGGTGCAAGGCTGATGTGTAAAGGAGTGGAAAAGGTAGGATTTCCTTTGGGCCATGAAGGACAGGTAGGTATCACAACACAGAGAGGATGTATGAGGTCAGTGGAGGCCTGTGAAGACACTGTCTTGGCTGCGTACAGGTTCATCTGGGAGACCATCATGAAATAAGATGCCAGATAATGGCATATTACCCTGAGATGACAGTGCTGTCTTGACCCTATCAACACTGAAAATGTATAAGCAAAGACTGAAAAGATGAAAGTAGTACATTAGAAAGAAT